TCCAATATATTCTGAAATACGAAGGGAGTCACTAGTCAGTGAAATTGCTAATATCTAAATAAGCTGAAGGAATCTATAGGCGACATGAATCACAGGAAGCACTAAAAGCCTAAGGAGCATTTTAAAAAAAACCCAAATATCCATCTCACTTAAGCCAAATCTAAGGGAAAAACAAAATCCCTATTGGCCCCAGCATAGGTGGGATGGGACATACACAGAATGACGAAGCCAAGAAATGAGTGAGATACTAAAGTCCCAGTCAGGCGTGCAGTGGCAGCGGCGGCAGAAGAGGCTCCTAACAGCTCTTCTTCCTCAAAAAACATCGCTCATCAAAACTTGTGATTGCCTAGTGAAATGTTCAACTACAACGAACCACGTAGACCACCAAAATTGACCCAAGAATACTAAGAAAGTAACCCAAATCTTGACAAAATTAGAAGATCTAAGGAAGACATGAGCCCTGCAACCCAAACCTCTGCTCGCGTGCCAGACAACCACTTTAACCCAAGCTCCAAACAACAAGCCTTCTCCATTGCTACACAGTATCTACTTTCAGGGATAACTATGCTAAGGCATATCGCAGAAGGAAACAACATCAGTACTAAAAGAATAACAGCAAAGGACTCCTGAGAAAATCAACTGTCTACCCAGCGAGGAACGCTCGTGTATCATCACCCCCCCTCACACGCCGCCGACCCTCAGGGAAAACAACACAACAAACATGCGCAGCTGACTCTCCCTCCAACTCCACTCCCTGTCAAGAGGATTTCACCCATGATTACTCAGTATGATTATTCCTGACAAAATCACGACTACATCGTTGCTCTAGAAAACGAAATCAAAGATAACAAAGCAACCTCGAGCGACGAGAAACAAGATGAACCAACCCGCGAACAAATCCAAAACCTAAGAAGAGAGATTACATCGGGAAAAGTAGACACAGAAAATACTCTGAAAGCAGCTATAGCCATCCACAACTGAACAAATAACTACAAAAAACTTATGAAGGTTGAAGAAGCAAAACAAGGACTGGATCAGAACATGCCAACCGACTAAACTATGAATACCTTGATTTCCAAGATAACAAAACTGGAAACAAGATAAGGATAGTCTGATGCAGTAGATAATAAGACAGTCCACACATTCTGCCTAGTGACATAACCCAAGAACAGTGTCAAGAAACTGCTGTCAGGATAATACAGTACATGTGCAAGTCGATCGTGCCAAAACAATTAGAATCAAAAAACCCGTTTGCTAGGAAAACCCGGAAGTAAACACAGTATAATGATCCGACTTCATTCATACGTAAAAGTACAGACTAATATAAAATCACAGCTTACAATGAAAAAATGGAGTGTACATAAATGAGTGTCTATACATAGAACACCGTCAAAAAACCTCTGTTCAGGCAGAGAAAACTAAAACAGGAACACAAAATACATTCATGTTTCACGTGAGATAGGCAAAATACTAGTAAGGAAAACACACAAGAGGACAACAATATACTATCTCAAACGAACATATTTTCCCTCTACCTTCCTTAAAAAAGTGAACATTTCTGAACAGATTAACATAAGTCCCTTAATACATATATATCTGGGGTTGCATATATGTACATTACTATATAATGTTGCATTATTATTTTTAATATGTTTTGCGTCACAAGCTAAATGCTAACTTCACCAATACTTTATACTTCTATTCTTACTGCTATGTATTGCTCATCATTTTTGTGTTACACATCAAATCCTTACTCCAAATTAATATTTTAAAATTTTTTTTTCATTGTTCTTACCTGTCCATATCAATTTTTGTTTACCACTACTTGTTTTTTATTTTAGTCACTTTTTTAATGTGTGTGCAATTGTGAATATTCCAATTACTTTTTGGCAAGTACCAAAACTACTTTGCTAGCTAGTAACCACTACCTCATTTTTTTACTTTTTATGTGCAATAAACTGCCCAACTTATTTTAATATTACAAATCAGATCTCTCCTAAACCAATAATTGATTTTCATAGATGACTTATCTGTCCATTTAACTTTGTTTAACATTACTTAATGACCATTATTTTTTTAATTAAAATGCTGACTTTGTGGTCTATGTTCAATTGTATTATGTTGTTAGTTCCTCGTTTCCACAAGATCTCATTCAGATAGACTGGGAAACATATTATAGAAATAGGCATGATTTTGATGAGTTTTTTTCTTTATAAAAGAACCTGAAAATGGAGCCTGAAAATTAGTGGACAAATGTTCGATTTTTTGCGATGTTCAAAAGTAAACAAATGATGTTTTATTGCCCATAAAATGTCCAACTTTCATTCTAATACAGTATGAATGGTTAAACATTATTTTACAAGTTATTACAAATTTGAGTAGTCTTTTCATAACAGGTAAATCTTCTATTTTTTGGTTTGAGAATAATTATCAAAATAGAAAAGCAAGAGTAATATCAAGAGGCCCTGGAGAGCATGAACTGATGAACAAAGAAAATGTTATTTTAATCCGGAATGTCTGCCGTGTTTCTTTCTGGACCCTATTTTGTAATTGGTCAAATTTTTTAATTTTTCGTGAAATTAGGCCAAATTGGCAAATTTCTTGACCATGTTTAGTTGGGGTAGTTGAAATCGTTAAAATGGGCATTTCCTTGTACTCAATCGACAGAAAAAATGGAGTTTCTAAAGAAAATCGCTTGAGTTTGGTGTTGACTGAAACAATGGAATTAGCCAAAAATATAGGCTCAAAGTGGCAAAATCGTCCGACTTTCCGTAAATATCGCCAAGGAGACTAACTTCGAGAGAGCATAATTCCATCAGTTTTCCATCAAATTATCATTCTTATGGAGTATCATTAACATGGGAAAAGAGTCTCTATCATTTTCACAAGATTTTTTTGGTTTTTTTTTCAAAAATTTTTTTTTTACACCACGGAGACACCTCAGGATTGTGGGGTTGCGACAGTCAAGCACAGATTGCAGATGGCCATGGCCGATGCAGCAGGTTGTGTATGCGGGCTAGACTGCGGGATTTTCAAGGATAGCTCTGTCCAAAGGAGGATGACCAGTCCCTACTTATCAAACTCAGTGTGAATGCTTTGTGAGAAGAATAACCGAAGCACTAACGGACATCCCAGTGCATCGAGTTTCAGCATAATAGTTGAAGTAGTTGTGCAGTTTTTAGAGGGTGTTGGTGTTGTAGAGATTCGGACAGTTCACGCCTCCCACACTCTCTTCCCGCTGGGGGAGTGGAGGGCGTGTGTAGTAAACAGTGCCCTCTCCAAAACCCTCCCCCTGCCCTCTCCCCTGCCTCAACTCCCACCCAACTCCCAGCGCCACCTCCATCTGTAGAGGGTACTTCTCCCCCAAACCCACGATTTCAGCGTAGCACTTTGCGGGGAGAGTGCCGGCTCAAACAGGAACTTTCCACTACAGGACAGCATCGTGGATCGACCGCAGCAGCTGCAGTGTGCCACAGGCAGTGTGTACTCAGTCCCTCAGCTTCAACATCCGTGCAACACGCGGGTCTAGAGCTTCATCAACTTGGCATCCACGCAGGACGCTGAACATGTCCCTAGGACACTCTCCATCGGGCTGCTAACGGAGTCACTGGCTTCTTGGACCTCTTGGGGACGGGTCAAAGGGTGCGCGTGCAAGCAGCAGATCCCTGGGCAAACATGCTTGCTGTTTGCAATGCTGTCTACCGAGGAGAGGACAGGCCACCTAGCAAATATCTTTTGTTGGGGCAATGATGAATTCCCCTACTATGTTTTGTTAACTGCTCATTACTCTGTAATTTGTTCTAATATTGTAATCCATGTCATAATGTGTTTATCATTCATTTACCTTTTAGAACTTGTTCATGATTGTGACAGCTCTACTGGAGCTCATTACCTTTGTAAATTCTCATATTAAGTGTTTATGATTCATTACGGGGGTGTTGTTCCCTTTGCAATTATGCATTAGTGTGACCAGCGCAACCGGAGCCATTACGTTTGTAACTTGGTCATGATTTATGACCAGAATCTAGTTCAGTTACCTTTGTAACATGCCAGCAATTCAAACTTTGGAGTCCAGTCCCTGAGGACCAAATTATAACCTTCTGTAGATCTTTGACTAACCATCACAAGGATGGTACATGGGTGCATAATAAACACAATTATATCAAACGACAGTCAAGGGTAAGTTATGAGATGGGAGCCAGCTACTTACACTGACTCCTACAGATAAGTACTACCACCTGTCGCCCTACATTAAGATTACAAAATATCAGACTTTAGGAGTAAGTAATGGAATGTACTGTGTATGCTTTTTACTTTTATGTGTTTTACAATGCCCTTGTTTCTATACTGAACTTTTAATAAAATTTAGTGTAAACTTGTTCTGGCATTTACATGCATTTATAAATTAAAAAAAAGGCGTCTCTGCTTTCCAGCGATGTCTGCTTACCGGCGATAGCCCTGGAACCTAACCCGCCAAAAGTAGCGCCCTAACTGTATTAGGTTAAGTCTGCCCAAAATGCCTAGGCATAATAGTGGCTTTTCTTTGCTCCATTCATAACTATAATGATGAACACAACATTGTAACCTTAACAAAGAACTAAATCTTCCTTTCAACAAACCGGCCGTGATCCCACCAAGGCGGGGTGCCCAAAAAGAAAAACCAAAGTCTTTGCTCTATTTTTAATTAGTATTTTGTACAGGAGAAAGGGTTTACTAGCCCTTGCTCCCGTCAGTTTAGTCGCCTCCTACAACACGCCAAGGCATAAACGGAGGTCAGAATTCTGTTCCACTTCCCCATGGAGATAAGAGAAATAAACAAGAATAAGAACTATAAAGAAAATAGAAGAAACCCAGATGGGTGTGAGTATATATAGCTTGTACATGTATGTGTAGATGTGAACCTAAGTGTACTGTTAAGAAAGTAGCAAGACTATACCTGAAACTTGCATGTTCACGAGACAGAAAAAGGACACCAGCAATCCAACCATCATATAAAACAATTACAAAGGCTTTACGTTTACGCTCACTTGCAGAGGACGGTAGTAACCGTCCCTGGTGGTTGCTGTCGACCAACCTATTACCTGCATAAAATAAATACATATTAATTTATTTTAATTATTATAAAATTTTTTAAAAAAGAAATGCACATGGCACTCCTCGAGATAGTGTATTGAGTCCATGTTTAATATTTTAAACAATGCCCCTAATGAAATAAATGCCAAATACCATCATAATATCACAGATCTATGGTGGTGAAATTCATGCACAGGAAGGGCGGGGTAGGGTCGGCCTAGACAGGGTTGGAGGGAGGGGGAAAGGAGGTTTTGTGTCGAGGGGCTTGGACTTCCAGCAGCATGCGGAGGCGTGATTGATAGAGTGAATGGAGACAAATGGTTTTTAAATACTTGACGTGCAGTTGAGTGTGAGCAAAGTAACATTTATGAAGGGAATTCAGGAAACCGGTCAAGGCTCGGACTAGAGTCCTGAGAGATGGGTAAGTACATGGTGCCTGCACTCTGAAGAGGGGTGTTATAATGTGCCAGTTTAAAAACTGTAGTGTAAAGCTACCCTCTGGCAAGACAGTGATTGGAGTGAATGATGGTGAAAGTTTTCATATTTCGGGCCACCCAGCCTTGGTGGGAATCGGCCGTGTGATAATGAATAAAAAATAAATAATCATGGCACAACTAATGCTGACATGATAATTAGTGCATAACTATGCTGATGTTATTCTGCACAACTATGCTGATGATAAATATGCATAATTACTGAAGATATCATAGATAACATTTTTTTTATCACAAAGCACCATATCCCACCAAGTCATGGTAGACCAAAGAAAAAAACGAAAGTTTACTCTTTTTAAATTTAGTAATACATACAGGAGAAGGGATACTATCTATCTCTGCTGGTCTCTGGTCATCAGTCTCTACCGTCATAGATACACATACGATAGTTATTAACAAGTGTAATTACCTAGATAACCACCGAAAAATCCAGGCATAGTGCTGTACTGTGCCTTGTAATATAAAGGCATAATAAGCATGAATGGCTAAGTAATATGCCATTTTCACTTGTTCCGAGGAATGCAGAACGTGACGACTCTGCATCGTGTGTAAAACCTGTTAGGTTCAGAGTGCTCTCTCCTTCTGAAACAGACAGAGAGCACAGCAAACAGAGAGACAGAAGGACAGACACACAGGCAGACAGATAACAGAGACAGAGATACAAAAGACAAAGCTAGACAGATAACACAGGCGCGACAGACAGATAGACAAAAAAAGGGGATGATATAGACATTTAATATTACAGTGAAAACAAACAAAAGCCACGTCAGTTGCACAATCATCAAGGTGTCACTCACTGGCCTGCACTGTCACAATGAAATAGACTAGCTCCTACGATAGTGCTGGTTCAAGGATTTTCATAAACATGTATAAACAGGTATACTCCAGCATGATCTAAAACATTGGCTGGACTATAAATACTATGTAATATAATTCTAGACAATAGAGTAATGACCAAGGCAGGTGAAAGTGTTCACTCGAAAGTGTGTTTAGTGACTCTTGAGTACTATTTTCGAGTACCTAAATATTAATAATAATAATATTAGTGTCTGAACAAACATTGTGCTATGAAATCACAAGACTACTACTACAAAATTGATTTATCAGGGCATAAAAATTATATAAATTAAATAAGAAAAGAGGAAAAAAGGTAATTCGCAAGACTTTGCAAGCGGCAGGATGCATGTTGCCCGTCAGAGTGAGCCAACAACGACCTTAAATCTCCGCAAGTACTGACTCTAAAAATGTTTTTTTATTTTACATTACTATAAGTAAAAGAATCTCTCTTCTTTATTTAAAAAAACAAATAAATTTTTTTTTTGGTTTTTATGTTTTCAAAAATATTTGGAGCACTAGGCGAGAAACATAATCTAGCATTTGACAAGAAAGGAGTTAATTTAATGGCGGAGATTGAACAAAATAGTGATGTCTCAAATGGAAGGGCGCAGCTGGGTTAAGGAGTCGCGAGTAATTTTGGTAACAGGAAGGGCCCCCTTATAACGGCGGGTTAGGTTCCAGGCTAGCAGCCGAAAAGCGAGATCGCCGTTAAAGTGGAACAATGCCCTTTTTTTCCACTTATAAATGTCATTACAAACACTAGATAACAGCGTTTTTAGTACAAACATATATAAGTTTAGCAATAGAACCGAGGCATCAAAAAACAATAAAAAGGGTACAATACACACATAGTTCACTCATTTAACTTACCTTATAATATTTATAAGATCTTAATCTAGGTAGACAGAGTAGTATTTATTGTAAGAAATCAAGTTTGGTAGTATGTAAATAGGCAGCTTTTTCACACAGCCGACCCCACCCACACATACTATTCTATGATATTTGAAGCATCCCAGACATAAAATGTAATATAATTCACTCATTAGCTTACCTTAAAATATTTTAGTCCTTAAATGGTAGGGTCTAGGAGGAGTAAATGAGATAAAACGAATAATGAGAGAGAGAAAGAATGAATACATGAGAGGTGACAGTGCCAGGCACAGAGTAGACAAACCAGGCTCCCACATCTATATTTATGTTTATTTATTCTACATTGTGGGGTGTATTATATCATCTTTTTAGTTATGTAATCGTGTTTCTTATATAATTTTGAAAAAATATCATGGCTAGGATTATGAAAATGTGTATATTACCGTACTATACGACATTTAATGAGACTCAGGATTGTTTATATTATCCAACCGACTTGTGGAAGTCGTCTGCTACACCAGCTACAACATATGTTTATTTATTCTACTGTGTGGTGTCTTATCTTATTTATATGTTATGGCATCGTGTTTATTAGATAATTATTGAAAAAAATATCAGGGATGGATTAATGAAATTTGTGTATATACCGTAATATACGACATTTAATTGAGACTTCCGTGACTATTGTTTAATATGGCGTCCTCTTGTGGAAGCTCTGCTACCAGAGATCCCACATTTTATGTTTATTTATTCTACTTGTGAGGTGTATTTATCTTATTCAATCAGTTATGTATGTGATTATTATATAATTTTGAACAAAAATAATTCATGGCTGGATTAATGAAAATGTTATATTACCGTAATAACGACATTTAATGAACTCATATTGATTATTATCACCACTTGTGCAAAGTCGTTCGTGCTACAGCAGGCTCACATTTATGTTTATTTATTCTACTGTGGGGTAATATATCTCTATATTAATGTTATTCACGTGTTTATTATATTAATTTTTGAAAAAAATATCATGGATGAGATTAAAGAAAATGTGTATATTAATCGGAGATATACGGACATTCAAAAAAATGACTTGATGTATAGTAGTTTTATTGGTAGGTACAGTATACATAATTAAATTAACAAGTATAAAAATATAAAATAAGAAATAACTTTTAAAAACAATTGAAATTTTTGGAGTTTCCAGACAAAATGGAGAGACTTAGTGCTTACTGAGCTCAAACGGAGATGTATACAAACTGTGGGGCACGGTGACCGAGTAATTAGAAAGTCAGTGAGGGGGAGCCGTAGATAGAGAGTTCTTGGTTCAACTAATTAAAAATGTCCGATTAGCGGAACGCCTAAAGCGAACGCGTAAAGCGGAAGGCTCCTCTTATAGGGAAGCACAGAAACAAATGAGTCACATGAAGTCCTAAAAGAAGGACATTAATATTATTTGACATCCAAGAAGTGGAGTTTAGCTTAATTTTCCTTAGATCAAGAGCCCTTTAACTAGCGATGAAGTCTCTTCTAGGAGAGTTAAAGGACAATTGTCTGCTCAAAATGCTCTAGGCTTGCTATTGGCGACTTTCTTGTAGCTTGCATATTTTTAATATATAAACCAACCAGTATAAAAACTTTACAAGAATAAAAATCCTGAAGTTCTTGAATTTGAATAAAAAATTGTTGTCGTTGCATCTTTTTTAGTTGTTAATCATACTGCAAACTTTCTATTTATGTTGTATCATACTGCAACTTTCTTATTTATTGTTTATCTTAACTGCTAACTTCTTATTTATTGGTTTATCATCACTGCAAACTTTCTTATTTTATTGTTATATCATACTGCAATCTTTCTTATTTATTGTATATCATACTGCATACTGTCTTCTTTGTTTAATCAACTGAGCAACTTTCTTATTTATTGGTTTTATCATAACTCAATTTTCTTTTCTCTTGTCTGGGTGAAAGTTGTGGTCAGTTATGGGTAAACTCATGAAGTGCTCTTTGAGCACTGATGATTTTTAAAGTGCAATTAAATGTGTATTTGTACTGAAACAACAAAAATATTAGGTGATGAAAGATTGGATATCAGATTGGATGAGCGAGAGTATGGAGGAAGGTGAATATATCAGATAGTTGGGAGTGGACTGACAGCGGATGGGTCTATGAAAGATAGTGGAACATAGAATTGATGAGGGGAAAGAGTGAGTGGTGCACTTTATGAGTCTGTGGAGACAAAAGAACTTTGTCCTTGGAGGCAAAGAGGGAATGTATGAGAGTATAGTTTTACCAACGCTCTTATATGGAGAGTGTTGAAGCATGGGTATGCAATGTAGCAGCGAGGAGAAGGCTGGAGGCAGTGAGATGTCACGTCTGAGCAATGTGTGGTGTGAATATAATTCAGAGGAAATCGTAGTTGGACATTAGAGAGGATGCGGGATAACCAAAACTGTTGTCCAGAGGGCTAGGAAGGTTGTTTTGACAGAGGAGGTTCGACATTAGAGAGAATGGACGAACATCAAACGACTTCGAGAGTGTAACAGTCTGTAATGGAAGGAAGCGTGGGTAGGGGTCAGCCTAGGAAAGTTGGAGGTGGGGTAAAGAGGTTTTTGGTGTGCAGAGGCTTGACTATCAGCAGAGGCCATGCGGAGCGTGTTTGATAGGTAGTGAATGGAACAAATGGTTTTTTAATACTAGATGTGCTGTGGATGTGTGAGCAAAGTAACCTTAGACGGGATTCAGGGAAACCGGCATGGCCGACTTGAGTCCTGAGATGGGAAGTACAGTGCCCTGCACTTCCTGAAGGA